TTAAAATGCAGATATCTTCTTCTACCAGTCCATCCATGACAGCCTGATGCCAGGCTACATAGGGCTGCATCCAGAGCCACTGAGTTTCAATTCCCCAATGTTTGGTAACAGACTGAAAACAAACCAGGTCACTAGAAGTCACTACAGGCATCTCCTCAAAGACACTGCTGCTTCTACAGCAAAGGTAGCCGCTATGGGTGCACCAAAGAGGGATTTCCATTTCTTTTGCTTTGGCTGCCCCCAGTGGATTGGATGCTTTCCACCAATATGGAGGGTGGATCTTTCTCACCTAGTCCACTCAGGCTCTCATGCTAATCTCTTCTGGACACACCTTCATGGACACACCTAAAAACATAGCTTTACCAGTTTTCTCAGTATTCCTTAATCTAATCAAGTTGACATCTACAATTAACCTCATAGCCAACAATTAAAATCTGATCCATACAAAAATTCCCCAGACTGAATATCAGCAGCGAAGCAGCAACTTAGCTCAAGCACAGAATTCAAGTTCTGGTCCACACAGGAAGTTCCCCCAGTTTGGGAATTACCATAAAACAGCAAAATTGTTCCAGTGCAGAGTTTAACTGCTGGTGGTAGCTAATAATCCAACACAGAACAGAAAAAGCCACAGACAAGAGACAGAGCTGTGATATTAACCAGTAAAGGTGTAACAAAAGCAAAGAACACCTGCAAAACCAGTAACAGGAAGCAGTTTCCTCAAATGCCCAGAAATCAACATAAAGATACAAAGATTGAGAAAGAACAGAGAAATATAACACAAGCAAAGGAAACAAAGCAGCAGTGATGGACCCAGAAGCACAGTATATTTATGAAATATCTGACAGAGAATTCAGAATAACCCTCTTGAGGATGTTTAGGGAGTCGAAAGAAAATACAGATAGAAAAAAAATGATATCTGGAAACAATACAAACGCAGAACAAGAAACTTGACAAAGGAGTAGAATCAACTAAAATAAAAGAGAAATTCTAGAAATAGAGAATACATTATCTGACCTGAAAAACTCAATAGAAAGCTCCAACAGCAGACTTAATCAAATAGAGGAAAGAGTCACTGACGTTGAAGATGAAATTCTCTATTCAGAGTTGCAAAAAGAAAAAAGAACAAGAAAAAATAAAACAGAAATACAGCAAATATGGGATTCCCTCAGAGAAATAACCTACGCATAATCAGCTTACTCAAAGGAGAGAAAAAAGGAAGAGACCTGGAAAGCATATCCAAGAAAATAATGACTGAAAATTTCCAAAGTATAGAGAAAAATGACAGTATCCAGGTATAGGAAGCTCAGAGATCATCAGTCAAATTCAATCCAAGGAGGAACACCCCAAGGCACACACATCATAATCAATTTATTAAAAACCAAACACAGGGGCCGGCCCGGTGGTGCACTGCACAGTGCGCCGCTTGGGAAGCGTGGCGGCGCTCCCGCTCGAGGGTTCGGATCCCACATACGGACCGGTTCCCACTCACTGGCTGAGCAAGGTGCGGGAGCAACACTGAGGGTTGCGATCCCGTTGCCGGTCCCCGGTCCGGTACGGGGGCAACACTGAGGGTTGCGATCC